CTCTCCCTTCTGGACCATCAACTACCCCACTTTTTGGTGGTGTCTTGAGCAGGGGAGGTGCTGACTGTTCAGATGTGCTGCTGCTCTGTCCCCCTTTCCCCATGGAGCCTGCAACATTGGGGTTTTTGGTAGCATTGGGCTAAAGGAAACTGCTCTGCTGGAAGAGGTGCTTGTGTGCTTGCAGAAGAACCTTTTAATTTCTCATCGTGGAGAATGCAGCCCTTGCAGCTCTGGAACAGCCTCGCATAACCCTTTAGTTAGAATTAAAATACAGACCGTAAAACCAGCAATGAAATGGTTAAGGAAGGGAGGAAATCTGTATTAGAGCCCAGGAAATGCATTTTAGTGCCTAAACCACAACAAGGCAAGAGACAACGTCTAAATGCAGCCCAAACCATGCCTAGGGAAGTGCTTGAGTGTCAGAGGAAGGGGCTCCCCTGGCAGCACTGCTCTTCCTGGCCTTAGAAAAGGAAATCCCAGGCAGTGAACCGGGCTATGATCTGGTTTGTTGAGAAAGGACTTCCCAGGCTTGCAGCCGTGAGATGAAACCATCTCTTCACAGCATTCCACTGCTTGGTGGGGAGCTCCCCCTGCACTGGAATGGCTGAGGAGGGGGTTTGTGTTTGCCTGAGCAGGAATTGCTTGGATCTCAGCGTGCTGGAGAGCTTTTTGAAGTGCCCAGAGCTGCACGCAGACCTCGAGCACGTACCTCGTGCCTGCTCCTGGTGCTGTGAGGAAGCAGGTTGTGGCTGGGCCGTAAGATAAAAGCAACTGGATTTTAAAAGCTGCTTTTAAACCCGTTTTCAGGGTGAAGGCTGTCCAGAGTCCTTTTCCTCTTGGAAAACTGAATTTAAAAAGCATTCCCCTTCTCGAGGGGATCTAAACTGCTGCTGTGTGCATGCAATCAGCGTTTCCTTGTAGAAATCAGCAGCAGCCATGGAAAAACCCCCCTCTCCATCCCCTTTGGGAAGGGCAGCGCTTCCTTCCCTGTCCCAGAGCCAACAAATCTGCTTCAAATCTGCCTTGTTTGGCTTGGGGAGGGGACTTTGATTCTCACATCCTGTCCTTCTGCTGCATCCAGCTCCAGCGCTGCTTGAACCTGAGCGGCCAGAGGCTGCGCTTGGGAGGGAGGCGCTGGATGGAGCTGACTCCTGTCCTTCCAGCTCCCAGCACGGGGGCTCCTCAGGCCCCTCCTGAGACCATCAAGGGGTAGAATTAATTTCCCTGGGTTGGAGAGTGGAGTCAGTGGAGGGATGTGAGTGTCAGAGCCAGCCCAAGGGGAGGAAAGCAGTGAAACCTCTCTGAGTGCTTCACTCATCATTTGTCCTCCTGGAGCCGCACATCGTGGTTGTTGGTGCCTCTGCCAGGCAACAAAGGCAGGGTTTGGGGTTTTTGTAAGCTGTCTCAGCAAAGGAAAACCCATTTTGTGGGCCAGCAGGCTGTGTTTTGTGATGCCAGTTGGTCTCTGCAGTCTGCTCATTTAAATCTCATAGGTGGCTGGAGGGATTGGAAGGGGAAGGTTGCCTCTGCCTGATACGGGACTGCTTCTGGAAAAGGCAGGACTTGTGGGTTTTTATCCTGCACGTGCACAGTACAAGGCCTTGTTCCCTGCAGTGTTGTTTAGAGAAGAGATCCTCACTCCTGGTGCTGCTTTAGCTGGGAAAGTGAGGCTGAGGAACGGATGTTTCTTGTGGAGCTGGGTTATTTTTTTCATCTCCTTGTCTGCAGACACCCAAAGCCCTGGCCGTGTTCCTGTGTGACTGCTCTGGTGATCCTGCTCTGGCAGGGGTTGCACTGGGGGAGCTCCAGAGGGCCCTGACAACCCCTGCCATGCTGTGACTCTGTGATGTGGCATCACAACGTGGGCACTCCCAGAGATCCAAACTCTCAAGCCCTCAGGGTTCAAAGGAACGCGTTGGTGCCAGGCTTTGCCACGTCCAGCACTCACTGTGTCTGCTCTGCTCCTTCTGCAGCTTTCTACACGAGCAAGTACGGCTACAAGATGTGTCTGCGCGTGTACCTGAACGGGGACGGCACCGGCCGCGGGACCCATCTGTCCCTGTTCTTTGTGGTCATGAAGGGACCCAACGACGCGCTTCTGCGGTGGCCCTTCAACCAGAAGGTAAGGTTTGGGACAGCAGAGGCACGTTTTGCACCTCCATGAGCTGCTGGACACCCTCACTGTGGCTTATTTAGCGAGCAGGAGGAGGAGGAAGGACGTTGATACCTTGCCCGCCCTGGGGATTCCACAGTTGTGCTGAAAGCACCGAGTGGGCTGTGGGGCAGGGGCACAAAGCAGCATTGGATGTGGCAGGAGAGCAGCAGTGAGTTTGGGAAGGGAGCAGAGGCTCTGGGTGAATTTGGGTTGTCATGGTCTCCATACTCAGGGTGCAGCTGATGCTGACTCAAGGCCGAGGGGGCAGAGAGAGGGGGCATCTTTCACGGGGGTACAGCAGCTCTGTGACTTAAGGAGATGTCTGCGTCGGTGCTGGGAGCAGCTGTAGGTCCCCAATGTGACAGCCCGGTGCTGCCACACAGGAGTTTCCAGTGACAGGGCAGGATGTGGGATGGTTTCTGCAGAATGTCCCTGCGGTGACGTTCTCTGCTTGCAGACATTTCTCAGGGTTGTAGGCAGGTGGTGTGGCTCCATTGCACTGGTGCTTGTGTGTTCATAGAGTCACAGCGTGGTTTGGGTGGGAAGGGACCTCAAACCCCCCCAGTCCAACCCCCATGGGCAGGGACACCTCCACCAGCCCAGGCTGCTCAAACCCCGTCCAACCTGGCCTTGGGCACTGCCAGGGAGGGGGCACCCACAGCTTCTCTGGGCACCCTGGGCCAGGGCCTCACCACCTCACAGGGGACAATTTCTGCCTAATATCCAGTCTAAATCTCCCCTCTTCCAGTTTAAAGCCATCACCCCTCATCCCATCACTCCATCCTTTGTCAGAAGTCCCTCCCCAGCTTTCCTGTACCCCTTCAGGTCCTGGAAGGTGCTCTAAGCTCTCCCCGGAGCTGCCTCTTCAGGTTTCAAGTGAGCAGGTCACCGTGCTGGGTTCCCACGCACTTCTAACTCAGCTGCTGTCCCCTATTTTCACCTTTCCCCACAGGTCACCCTGATGCTCCTGGACCAGAACAACCGGGAGCACATCATCGATGCCTTCCGACCCGACGTGACCTCCTCCTCCTTCCAGCGCCCCGTCACAGAGATGAACATTGCCAGCGGCTGCCCACTCTTCTGCCCCGTCTCGGTGATGGAAGCCAAGAACTCCTACGTGCGTGATGACGCCATCTTTATTAAAGCCATCGTCGATCTCACGGGCCTCTAACCCTCTGGACCTCCGGGAGCAGTGAACGCAGAGCCAGGCCCGAGTGGGGGCGTCCCCGTCTTGCGCTGCCCTTCGGGCCGGTCTCGGAGCGAGGAGTTGGGGGGCGGGGGGGGAGCAAAAGGCAGGAGGGGAAAAGCCCTCCCCGAAAAATGGGACCTTCGCTCTGAGTGGAAACGAGGTGTCTGATGGGAACCCTCTTCCCTGGTGTCCCAGAGACCTTCCCCGAGAAGAGGTCGGGGTGGATGTTCACGGCTGCAGGGTACAGGAAGATCTGCAGGGGCTCAGGCTCCGAACTGCCGCTGCCTGAGCTCCCAGTGGAAACCAGTGCAGCTCTCGCTCTACCAGTTCAGCGCGCATCCTCGGCGCTCTGTAGTAACAGAAGGGGTTGGCCTGCCCGAGCACCACCTCGTCGGGGTGTTTGGCTCAGGGGGTTTGGTTTTCTTCAGAGATCTCCGTGTGTGCTGCAGGGGGGGCATTGCTCTGTGCCTTGGTGGACGGGCAGGGTGCGTGGCAGACTCGGTGCTGCTGCTTTGGTGCTGTTGGTGTCATCAGATGGGTGCTGAGCCGAGCCTGAGCTGTGTGGCTGTGCTGCCTGCGAGAGAGCGTGGGGCAGCACCCATGGTGCCTGTTGTGACAGAGCAGCCGCTCTCCCTGGTCTCTGCCTGCCCTGGGCAGGTTTTGAGCCAGACCCAGCCGTTCTCTGCCTGGGCAGCAGTGCTGGAAGCTCTTTCCTCACACACACATGCTCCTGAGCTGGGTTTCAGGACCCTGGGAAGGCTGCGAATTGCTGCTGCAGCTGAAACCCAGCTCCATGGCTGCCTGTGCCACGCTGCTGCCATCCACACACACCAACACTCACCTCCACGGCTCCAGCAGCGATGGATGTGGCCATCTCTTGTCCCCATGTGCGGTGGGTGGCTGCTGGCCCAGCCCCTGCCTTGCCCCCAGCAGCAGCTTCCCCCTGGCACTGGTGCCAGCCCCTTGCTGAGCCTGCATAGGGTCTGGTGGGGCTGGAGGAGCCCCCAGGTGGAGCTTGCTGGCCCCTTTGTGGCCGTGGGCTTCTGGCACTGCTGTCTCCTGGGCAGCAAGCGTTCAGCACGCACAAGGAGGTCACTGTGGAGAAGCAGCTGCTGTCCTGGCTGGCCAGTCC